AAAAAAAAAAATCCCACATGCATACTACCCTTTAGGGCTAAGCCCCGGGTGTTTCAAATGTCTGGCTCCGCCTCTGCTATAGAGAGAGACCATATTTCTCCTATATTGGCTTCCCCTCACTGGCTCCCTGTTAAATCCAGAATAGTTAGAATAACTGCAGATTAATAACATCAGATGAGCTCGGTGCTGTTACCTCTCCTCAGGGCAGCGCTGACCCGCGGGTGGAGCAGTAGTTGGTCGCAGTTCATCCCGCTGACCTCCGTCCGTCCGACTGTGTGTTTGTTTACATCAAAAGCGCCACTGCATCGAAAATAACCCGCCGAACGAGAAACGTCATCAGGCGGCGCCGGGTGGTACCGTTCAACACAGTCTGGGGGGAGGAGCGGGGTTATTTCTGGGTCAAAAGAAGTCGGTTTGTTTCATTGAGTCGAATCCAGATGATATAACGTATTGGTGACGTGATAACAGTTACATTCGTTAAGGGTTTAATAATTAGGATTCAAATGCTTTCCTTTCCAAACCCACGTCACCAACTCATGTCCTGTGCCTATTGAGTAACGTCACTCCAGCGCGCCACAGGAAGAAAACAAACTGCAATCTGAAAACAGTCAGTGATCAATAACTGATCAATAACCGTTATTAGCAGCCAATAAGGTGACCGGATGTGTTCTGGGACGGAACACAGTTTCTAACGGACCAGACTCTGAAGTTCTCCCGGTGAGTGGATCCAGATCTCTGGGAGAGGAGCTCCCCGGTCCCGGTGTTTCAGGTTAGCCGATTATATTTGTTTACATGTTCCAGGTGCAGCATCCGATGCTGATTAAAAATATTTAAATAAAGTTAGAGAAAAAAAACTGACTGGACTCGAACCTTTGTTTTTATGACATAAATCACAAACCGACATTTTCCTGCTAACGCCATTGAGCAGCTCAGCGGGAGTCTGAGTTCACCTGCAAACACCTGCTGCTGATATGGTGACAGGCCAGTGCTGGTCTGGGCATCAGGAAGCTGGTGATCCACTGGCAGGTGGAGGTGGGTGAGCTTCTGGTGGAACATGTCTGGGATGATGGTGTTGAAGGCCAAACTGAAACCCATGAACAGTATCTGGCGTGTGTCTCAGGTTGGTCGAGGTGATGCAGTATGTAGTGCAGACCCATAGTGACTGCATCGGATCGGCTGACCCGTTTGCCCAGTAGGCAACTTAGAGAGAACAGTCATCTTGATTTTAACATCAGGATAACAGCAACTTACCATCTTAGTGTTTCAATTTCTTCAAAATTAACAATAAAGGGCTCTGATGTAACACAACCATGCATTCAAGTGAGGAAATATCCCTTTCCATTTACGGCAATCTATCAAAAGTTAAGCAGAGTCTTCTTAACTCACAGCTTCCATGTTCTCTTCCATGTGTTGCATAAGGAGGCAAGCCAAAGAGGTGGAGTTAAATAGTATCCAACAAATTCACAGAGAACAGGATGTGATGTGTGGTGGTGTAGGGAAGTAGGAAAAGGTTTAAAACTTGTCATTTTAACTAAAAGTGATCTGCTGATCAGATTTGTTCTGAGCTGAGCCAATCAGACTGTTTCACACATGTAAACAGGTAACAGCTGCAACCAATAAGAGTCACCCAAGTTTGAATCACAGAGTTTTGAATCCTCTTTAAGACACACACACACACTGTCTGCTGTCTGTAATCATTAATGTCTGCAGTCACAGGTGGATGAAGGTGGGGGTGAAAGTGAATCAGGGATCTGCTCTGAGCTCTTTCTTGTTTGCAGTAGTAATGAACACACTGAGAGATGAGGTCAGGCTGGGGTCACTGTGGATGATAATGTCTGCAGATGATACTGTGACCTAAGGTGAGATTAGGGAGCAGGTGGAGGTATGAAAGAGTAGAAGCAAGATAGAATACATGAGTGTGAATGAGAGGGAGACAAGTAGGAAGGTGAACATGGAGGAGCAGAGGTAGTGGTAGAGGGTCGTCCATGTAGTGAAGGAGGACATGCAGAGGGTTGGTGTGACATAGGAGGAGATGGAGACATATGACTGGCTGAAATGTTGTATGAGTCATCATCAGTGAGTGTACAGTGGAGCTATCCTACACATGACAGTGACTTGTTTCCTGTGTTGACCTTCATACTCATCGTCATGTGAAAGTTTAGTATTTAACCGGTCTCTCCACCTCAGGGACTGCTGACCTCTGACGTCCACCATGAGCTCCCGGGTGTGCAGGACCTGCGGGGGGTCTGATATTGACGTGGACCAGGCTCGTGGCAGCGCCGTGTGCACCAGCTGTGGTTCGGTTCTGGAGGACAACATCATCGTGTCTGAGGTCCAGTTTGTGGAGGGAAGCGGAGGCGTGTCGTCCGCCGTGGGACAGTTTGTGTCTGCTGATGGTGAGACGCCAACAGAGGCAGGTTAGGGTGGTTTAGGGTGAAACAGGAAGGGCTGGTAATCCGCAGCATCAGCAAGTTTCAGAGACCATGTGAGTTTGCTGAAGTCCATCCAGGTTTCACAGATACAGCTCAAGCAGGCTTCGGACGTCTCTCTGACCAGTTCAGGTAATTTAATTAGTGCCACGTTTTAGAAGAAAACATCATGAGAAACAAGTCGCCGTGTTTCAAAGCGACATCCAGAATCAGAAACATGTCCACCTGAGCATTCCCCTCGTTGTAATTAATTGATGTCCATCATCCCATGATGCATTGAGTATTCTTCAGTCACTATGTGTTAATAGACCTTTCTGCATCGAAGCATACTTGTTATTAATCTCTGTCTCTCTTCCATAGCATGTCTTTTATCCTGTCTTCCTTCTCTCACCCCAAGTGGTCATGGCAGATGGCCACCCCTCCCTGAGCCTGCTTCTGCTGGAGGTTTCTTCCTGTTGAAAGGGAGTTTTTCATTCCCACTGTCACCAAAGTGCTCACTCATAGGGGGTTATATGATTGTTGGTTTTTTCTCTGTATGTATTATTGTAGGGTCTGCCTTACAATATAAAGTGCCTTGAGCCGACTGTTGTTGTGATTTTGCGTTATATAAATAAAATTGAATTGAATTTTTAAAGTCAGTAAACACGTTTGCTATACAATCATTCCACCCTAGAATGAACACTCAACTTTGACTTCATGCCTGTGATGAGTGTCTAACACTAACCTGTCTTTATCCAAAATGCTCTGCAGCAACTACAGTGTCAAAAGTCAAAGTCCTCTGAACAGCTGTCTTTCTGTCTGCCCATCAGGTCCCGTTAAAGCGCCACTTCTTGGTTCTGGTTTCCACACCAGCGTCGGTAAAGAGTCGCGAGCCCAGACACTTCAGAACGGTGAGTTCTTTGACTGTTTGGGGGCAGGGTGTCCAGGTGAGCCACAGGTGTAACGAGCCTGTGTGTGTGCAGGTAAGCGTCAGATCCAGCAGCTGGGCAGTCAGTTGCAGCTCAACCAGCACTGCCTCGACACTGCCTTCAACTTCTTCAAGCTAGTCGTCAGCAAACACCTGACCCGGGGCCGCAAGACAGAGCACGTCATCGCTGCCTGCCTCTACCTTGTGTGCCGCACTGAGGGCACGCCACGTATCCTAGCAACCACTCTGACCCACTGAGCATGTGCAAATTGCCGAGACAAACCTGAACTCTGAAACCGCGATGGCCTACAGTCAGTTTACATGCAGCCAGGTGAACCACTGAACTGGTTTCCTCACCTGTAGCTTAGGTGTGCAGCTCATCTCCTCTTTTAAAACTATGAGAGGAGAAAGACATCAGATTTTCATCAGCTGCAGGTGGATGCAGGTTTGTCACAGGAACTGATCCATCAGCGGTACATTCAGATGTCCATCACCTTAATGTGCTGCAGATGTTCTGCTGTTTAAGGTGATCAGAAACACCTGGAACCAGTGATTTACAATTTTAAATCAAACACAAACGTGATAAAAACACAGAGGTTACAGGCTTCATTCTGACCTTTCATCTCCTGGTTTTCCTTATACAAGCCTCAGACATGCTGCTGGACCTCAGCGATCTGCTGCAGGTAAGACCGAGCCTCAGCTACTCTCAGTGGACTCTCAGTGGTGTCATTCAGGTGTGAGCTCTATGCTGTGTGTCCAGGTAAATGTCTACATCTTGGGAAAGACCTTCCTGCTGCTGGCTCGTGAGCTCTGCATCAATGCTCCCGCCATTGGTGAGCTATTTACTCATTGTATTTATTTAAAGCACACAACACTGGAAAAGCAGAGAATGCAGTCTCACAGATGATTTAAAGTGTGATAAACATGTGCAACATGTGCTGACATCCAGAAAAAAACTGTAAATAAAAAAAGAAAAAAAAACAAAACACCAATCACATTTATCAGTTTCAACTTTATATTTTTTGTCTGCAATGCTTTTCTACTGAATACAGGCTTGAAATAATTTGTTGTTGCATTCAAATTTTTTATTTCCATTTTACACATGTGACCTTGAACACAACAAGTAAAATTCATTATCCACAGCACAAAAAAAGTTGAAAATCCCCCACATTGTGAGACCACATAGCCACATCTAGTGGCAGCAGCAGAAAAACTACAACTTCCTTTATTCATTTTCTCAAATATTCAGGAGACTTTAATATACACCAAACACTTCTAAAAACCTGACAGCCAATCAGCTCTCAGGTCCACGGCATTGTTCAATCAGCTGCCAATTTCCAATTGCCAGGTCCGTTGATTGAATCTGAGCTCCAGGCTCCGACTTCCTGCCTGTTGGCTTGAGTCCCTGGGTCCAGTTCAACAGTAGAAGATGAGCTCTGGGATCTGCCCCCCCTGCACCCCAGTGCCATTGGTACTGTCTGATGAGCACTGGAACTGGAAGGTCACTTTCCCACACTGCACTTCAGTCATCCCCTCCTGGCCAAAGTAACTCAGCTCGTTTCCGTCCAGGACGGCACTGACTGTGTAGAAGGTGTCCTGCTCTACCTGCACCGGGTGCTCGAACCACACCGGGAAGGTGCTGCTTGACCCATCTGACAGAAACTTGTTGAGATTCTGGGCTAGAACAGTTCCCTGCCTCTTCAATTCAATCCTCACAACGTACTCTGCCTTCCCACCACTGGAACCATACAGACCAAGTCCAGCTACAAAAATCCTGCGATCCACGGCAAACTGGATGCTGTCACAGCGCCCCCTGTAGCGCCACTGGTTACTCCGGTAGGCTGAGGATTGGAAGCGGTGGCACCTCTGTGGCAGTAGCCCCGCCCGCTTCACAGTGGGGAATTCCAGCCTGGGTTTGTTGGTAGCAGTGAACCACAGAAAGACGTCGTGGGCCTCTTTGAGCGTCAACACATCCGACTGCGCTGCCCCATCTGCAAACTCCTGCAGTGTCATGGAAGGGAATCGGACCAGGTACAGGGCCTTACCAAGCACCGTGCGTTGATTCCTGGGGTTCACTGTCAAGCCCTGCCGCCGACACTCTGCCGCCGCCCAGCACAGCAGTGCCTGAAACACCACGATCTCGCGGGTGTTGAGTGTTTCTCTCTGCAGGATTATCTCCAGCGTGAGCAAGTCGATCTGACAGAAACCTTCAGAGCGCAGAGCGAGTTCAGCTTGAGCGTCGATCACCTCCCAGCAGTGCTGCGTCAGTTCCGGCTCCTCAAACAGCCGGCTCTGAGACAGCAGCACGCAGGCATTCTTTGCCTCAAGGCTCGTCTCCAAGAAGGCTACGCAGGCCCTCGCCAGAGCAGGGACAATATACTTCTTAGCAGCATACAGCGTGGCGAGCACCGTATCAGCCTCCAACTCAATCTCATCGCTGTACATGTACCTGAGATAGAGAAAATAGTAGGATGAGGTCATGTTTCGACAAAAATTGTACAACACGCGGCATCCATAGCTGACTGTAGTGGGTTTGTGTACCACCACAGTGGAGCAGAAACAGAAGTTACCTCAATGTTATCAACATGATGGATTGTGAAATCTGGTCTGTGGTCCCTTTTCTCGAGCTACACCATAAACTACAACGCCTGCCTTACTCTCCTGTCCCTTCAACCAAATCCTGCTTCAAGAAACAAAATCACTGGAGCTGAACTCCTGCCCAGCCCACGGTGTCTACAGTCTTCAAGCACGTCCCACCACAAACCTCCACCCTACCTCAGATCCTGCCACAGAACACTTTTCAATTTGGTCGAAACACTAATGGCGGTACTCAGATCTGCACTGAAAAAGATTTCATAGTCACGTTCAGGAGTCAAGTGTTCAGGATACTAACAAAACTTTTTATGTTTTGTAATAATTTTTTTCTGTCAGACAACTTTTTCTCAGATTTTAGTTCTGTGAAGCCTGTGCCTCTCTGATTCCATTGCTATCCTAGCCTTTATCCTTCTATCCTAGCCCAATGAGGCACACTAGAAAGGCAGCTGTAGCTCCACATGAGTCAGAATGCAAAGCTGGGGGTCATCCGAGTGAAGGAGACTACTTTCAGGACTCTGCTTGCTGCTAATTCACTAACAGTGGGCCTGGTCTTGATTTCTGACTCACTTTAAGAGGATGAGAAAAGCAGCCGGCTCAACATCAGGGATCTGGATCACAGACTGTCCCTCTGCCAGATCTCCATAAAACATGGCTCCAAACACCGAGCTGCCCACTGCCAGGACGTACTGCCACACAGAGGAATCCATTAGAATCTGGACCACAGCATCAAACCGTATGCTCTGGATCAAAGTGTCAGTGGGAACAGGTTCTGTACCTTATGAGCAGGCACTGTCTGAGTCTCTCCTGAAGAACCGACAATGAAGTGGACATCAGCCATCTGCTCATTGTTGAACATCAGAGCGTTCCTGCAGCCACACAACATAATCAACAGACAACAGCAAAGAACAAGGACAACAACAGACTCGGGTTAGCACATCACATTTCTTAGTAGCTAACATAGCCAAAAATGCAGAATGATGATAAAGCTGAATGTATGCAGACCCCAGCCCAGCAGCCAGAGCCTGAACTTCAACACATGAGGACATGCTGGAATGGCAAGATTGCTTAGAAATCCTGCCATTAATTAATGCTTCAATCTTAAATATGGTCAACCTATCTCTATTAATCAGCTATGTATCACAGGCCTTCAAGCTGGTAGTAGTTAAACCGTTGCCTAAAACGCCATTTCTAGACCCACCGGTGTTAGCTAATTATAGGCCAATCCCCAACCTTCCTTTCATATTAAAAATTCTTGAAAGAGTAGTTGTCAAAGAACTAACACATCAACTGCAGAGGAATGGCTTATTTGAAGAGTTTCAGTCAGTTTTCAGAGCTCATCGCAGCACAGAAACAGCTTTAGTGAAGGTTACAATTGATGAGGGTTCTGTTATCATCAAGAGACATAGCATACATTTTCACTGCTATGCAGATGACACAGCTTTATCTATCCATGAAACTGGATAACATTGACCTCCACTCATCCCCAGCCGTTCACAGCAGATGGTCACCCCTCTGTGAGCCTGGTTCTGCTAGAGGTTTGTTCCTGTTAAAAGGGAATTTTTCTTCCCACTGTCACCAAAGCACTTACTCATAGGGGGTCATATGATTAATGGGGTTTTCTCTTTCTTTTTTGTGCAACTAGATGTTACAATCCCTGATATGGGATTGTAACATCTAGTCACTTTACTTAAACAATATAAAGCACCTTAAGGCAACAGTTGTTGTAATTTAGGACTGTAAAATTAACATTGAATTGGATGGGGCTTTGTGTTGGGGCTGTGTTAGCAACAAACATTTTAATGTCCTTTAGATGAAAAAGAAGCAATGTCTGCATAGTCAATTTGTTGTCCTCTTATTGTTGTTGTTTATCTCTCTGACTGCTTGTGGTTGTTGGTGGTGGGTTTTTTTTTTTGTTTGTTTGTTTTTTTACCTTTCTCTGAGGGTGGGGTGGGAAGCTTGCCAGCTGTCTGTTTCCTCCGGGTTCCCGTCATGGTTATTTGGCTGTGAGGCAGCAATGCCGCTGTCTCCACAGATATCTTCGGCAGTCAGCTGCAGGTCGCTCACCTGAATGAAGCTCTTCTTCACCTCCAGAACCTCCACCTCTTCGTCTTGAGGGAGACTGGTGGAGAACAGCTCGGCTGCCATGTCCTCCTCAGAAAGCGGGCAGAGTCAGCAGTCACAGCATCGCAGCCTGCTGTGGGTCAGAGAGAGCGGGATGTTATGATCCACAGAGATTATAATCCAGATTATCTGACAGCAGAGCGTCTCCTTTGTCCTAAAGCATAGACACCTGACCGCAGCTGCAGGCTCATCATAATCTGGATTATCTGATCCATTCATCTGAGGGTGTCCAGGTGTGTTTACTAAGGCGGTCTGTAATGCTTCACCTGTCTGCACTGCGGTCATTGATCTCTGATCACTAACATGGATACAGCTAATAAACAGTATCTAACCCGCAGAGGTGTGGATTCAGCAGACCGCTGTTATTATTAACATCAGTGTGGCCCAGAAAGCCACGCCCACCACATCTGTTTATCTTCAGCGAACAGGAGATCGGGTCTCTGTCCGGTAACAATCGATCATCACTAATCACAGCTCTGAGTACCGATCACGTACCAGATTCTCAGCGTTGGACCTGTGGCGCGTGTCATGGACCTTTGGTATGCGGGTTACCTGTGTGACGTCTGCCGTCCCCGCGTCCTTCCGCCGTAATCGTTAAAAACGAGCAGATCGCTGCAGCCTGCCTCCGGCCGCCATCTTACACTGTAGTACCGTCTTCACCACCGCTCCGCACTGCAAGAGGGCAGCAGAGCGCGGGGAAAGAACGCAGCCATCGAGCAACCGCAAACGTTTTCATGAACACCAAACACGGAAGTGTGTCCGTATGTTTATGTTTGCTACGTACAGTGTGTGGTGATGTCTGTGTCCAAGCCACTGTTATGAAGAAAAAAAAATACTAAGCGTATTAACAAGCAGTCTCTCTCACTCACTCACACACACACACACACACACGGAAATGCAGCTTCTGAGTGCAGAAGCGGCTCAGTGGATGCTGAACACTGGGATAGTGTGAACACACCTCACGTGCGGTGTAATTTCAGTATCCTTGGTGATTATTGAGGGTTTGCAGTCATGAGGGGAATTTCCCACATAGTTTCTGCAGTCTCTGATATGATGTGTGATCAGTGTAACTTCGGGTTGCCAACTCCCTGAAAAATAAATAAGGGACACCTCGTGGCCAGGGCCGGGCGACCCAGTTGTCTTCACCCTTCCCAGTGTGGTGAATTTTCTAGCTCTTTTTTTGTGTGTGAAATTATTTTTTTAACCATTTGACTTGAATTTGATTTAAGCAGATGTGTATTCTTTGTGATATGAACACATGTGAAACAAATGATCATTTAGCCATTTATTTTTAGCTCAAAATGACAACATTAACACAATAAAACAGGTCTCTTTCTTAAACAGAAGCCTGTCATGCTTAACTTTTGAGAATATAAGTAAATCTTTCTTTAAAAGAACTCTGTCCTGCTTAACTTAAAATAATAGAAAACAATAGAAAGAAAAATATTCTTGTAACAGTGCACATTTAGTGCATTTAGTACAATTGGCTTCAGCTGAGGTATTATGCTAATCAGCTGCTCCTGTTTGTAAACCCAGCTTGTTCCCATGATACGCATCTTAACTCATCATCATTATTCATCTATGTATTACTTTTATGTATTAGTCATCTATTTGTTGTAATCATCTATCCTTGCAGTTGTTTATTACACAAAATAAGTTATATTATCACACTTCTGGCCACATAGCGCTGATATTCACTGCACATGCCCATATTAACTTTTTCCAGCCAGGTGTTTTCCTTTTCCCATTCTTCCCTTTCTCTGAGGGGAACAAACATTATGCTGGGCAGACACTGTGCGGTTTTAGGCCCATTTTGAGACGATTTTTGAGTGATCGGACCGATTTTGGCCTTCATCGTGCGTCGTGTAGTATACGTGGGGTAACGAGAAGTGATTAACACCTCACGACCAGCTCCCGATCATCAATCGCTCGTGAGCCGCTCACACTGCTCGCGCGCAAACACGTAAACGTCGGTGAAAAAGACGGAGCAGCACGGCTGTGCAGCGTGTGATCTGGACACAAGCGATGGAGGCACAACTTGTAGAACTTTGGAAAGCTCATCCGAGCCTTTTCCATGTGGCCTCACAAAATTATCACGACCACAGCAACCTGAAAATAGTTGGATTTACATTGCTGCTCAATCACAGCTGCCTGATCAATGTTTTTCATTAGCAGTTTAGCAAAGTTGATGGTGGTGGTGTGTCTGTGTGAGTGAAAGACAGAGAGGGAGAGCGAGCGACAGATTTTCTGTTATAACCTTAATTTTATGGACGCACAGTGTGAGCACTCAGGTCGCATCAGAGCATCGGGCGGTATAGTGTGAGACCTGCATCGTGACCTACCAACTTCTAACCCCTGCGAGTCAATCGTGCAGTTTGAGCAGGAGCTGAATAACGCGACTGAAAAAAATCGCACAGTGTCTGCCCAGCTTTAGGTGTACTGTCGTCCGAGACTTGCACCGCAGTGTCGGCGTTTGTTTCCCTGTTGGCCATGCTTCTTGTTGTGGTCATCTGTTGTCTTCCGGTATTTTCTCCGTAAGCGACCCTTCCTCGACCAATGAGATGAGCGGTAATCTGAATTGTCATACTCGAATTGTCATAAGTGTGCTGTCAGCTCATTGGTCACAAAGCAGGAGAGGGGCTGGGAATTATGTTTTCAAACAAAGTGTTAATTCCATAAACATTTATAGACTACTTTTGATTCTCACTGTATTACGGGACAAAGTGCGTCCCTTATTGGCTCAATACGGGACGTGTACTTTTGTTTCGAAATACGGGACGATTCCGTATTTTAAGGGACGGTTGGCAACCCTAGTGTAACTCATAGCTAACTTACAGAGCCCTGATGCGGATTCAATCATTCAGGTAAAGAAATCCCAGAAAGCTGATTCAGTTCTGGATTTAACAGTCAACAGTAAATGTAGTGGGCGGAGCTGGACACAAGGCCTTTAACTTAAGTTGAACTTAAGTTTGAATACTGTTTATAAATCTCTGCTGATGCTACAACAAAAAAGCGATCTTTTGCCTGCTGATGAACTTTGACCCTGTGTGGCCACGTTTATTAACATTGAAGCACTCCTTCCCCTCCTCAGACCCCTGTCTGTACATTCCTCGCTTTGCGCACATGTTGGAGTTTGGGGCGAAGACTCATGAGGTTTCCATGACGGCTCTTCGTCTTGTACAGAGGATGAAGAGGGACTGGATGCACACAGGACGCCGACCCTCTGGACTCTGTGGAGCAGGTGCAACCTGGAATTTGTCACTATAGCAACAAACGTCAGCGGCACTGTGCATGAAGCAGACATTAACACTCCTTCTCTTCCTCCTCCTCAGCACTCCTGGTAGCAGCTCGGATGCATAAGTTTCGGCGTTCAGTGAAGGACGTGATTGGCGTGGTGAAGGTCTGCCAGACCACACTGAGGAAGAGGTGAGCCCCACAAACACCTGAGTACACCTGACCCCCACCAAAACAGGAAGCAGATCTCAGCGCCTTTCCCTCCCTGCAGGTTAACTGAGTTTGAGGACACGCCCACCAGTCAGCTGACCATTGATGAGTTCATGAGAGTAGATCTGGAGCAGGAGTGCGACCCCCCCTCATTCACTGCTGCACAGCACAAAGCCAAAATGCAGCAGGTACATCTTTGTCTCTGATTGGCTGCAGCAGCTAGGTGTCCAATTAGCTAACCAGTCTGTGCTTCCTGGTTTCTTGCAGTTAGAGCAGGAGCTGGCTAAGAAACTGGATGAGGTCGAAGGTCAGTTTGTCCTTTTTACCTGGGTGGGCTGCCTCAGATGAGAAGGGGTTACGTATTGAATCTTTGAATCACAGTGCATTTCCTGTCATCATCAGGAGAGATCAGCTGCTACAAAGACGAGATTGAAACCGAGCTGGAGAAGAGTCGGCCCAAACTCAGAGGAATCTACGCCGCTTACACCAAAGAAGTTGGTCAGTTCTTTGGGTTACCTGACTGTCTCACCATGCCCACACAGTCACTCAGCTGCTCCCACCTTTTCTGTTTTCAGACCCCGAGGACAACGCCGAGGTTTTGTCAATGCCATCAGAGCCCGAGGAGGTTGAGAGCGAAGATGTGGAATTACAAGCGGCCACCCACCACCTGACTGAGGACTTCCTGTGTCAGGTGATCCAGGAGGAGGAGGTACGTGGCATGAAGGGAGATCCGGTGGCAGAGCCAGAGAAGGAGTCGATGGGACCACACCGTCAGGCTGCCTCTCTGACCTCCATTCTGGGAAAACTGCCAAGCACCGCCAGCCTGAGCCTCCAGCAGACTTTCCAGACCTCGGACACATCAGAGAGTGGCGAGAAAGATCTCGGTGAGGATAACGACTGTAACAGAATGGTGACATCACCATTAGATCATAGGGCAGTTAGAAATCAAGCTCTGCGTTTACCTTCAGGTGACCACCCACAGAGCGAGGAGCTGGACCTGGAAGGTATTGATGATCAAGAGATCGATAAGGTCAGTTCACAGTTCTACAGGTACAAAGATACCTTAGCAACTTTTACTGTGAAAGGACCCAACTGCACGTGCTCTTTTCTGATTGGCCTGTTCTGTGTGATACAGTACATCCTAAATGAGAAGGAGGTTCAGGTGAAGACGGAGCTGTGGATGAAGCAGAACGCCGAATACCTGAAGGAGCAGAAAGGTGCTCATCAGCAATCATTGATGGGTGTTATTGATTACTGATTCTGATTGATTTGTTTTTGTGTTTCCAGAGAAACAGGAGCGGATAAACAAAGAGAAGGAGGAGGGCACCTACAAGGAGAAGGTGAGTGAAACCAGCATCCACTCAAGAGCCTCACCTGAAGCTCCACCCACCTAATCTGTGACCCCATGTGGTGAATATTTTGTCAGAAGAAGAAGAAGTCTAAGAAGCGGGACCAGATCGAGGCATTGACAGCGGGCGAGGCAATTGAGAGAATGTTAGAGAAGAAGAAGATCTCCAGTAAGATCAACTACGATGTTCTTAGAGATCTTAACCGAGGAACAGGAAGTCCGACCAGGTCCCCCGACCACACCCCCGATACCACCGTAGCACGAAAACGACTCAACCGCCGCCGGCGCAGGAAGACCAGTGACAGTAACCAAGACCTTGCAGCCAACACCAGCATTATGGGCAAGAGGTATCTCAACTGATCTGATCTCTCAATAACCTGTCATCAGTAATGAATATTCTTCAACCTGTCCTCCACGCTATCCTGATGTTCTCTCTCCTGCTCTTTCAGGTTCCGCCACCTCATTTCCTCCACACCAAAGAAGAAGAAAACAGCTCATCAGGTGCGCATCCTCCTTGCGTGTCTCACCTGTGTGTCCTTCCTCACCTCTCGTACCTGTTACTCCCTCTTACCTGGTTTACCTGATGTTAATCTTTCAGGTAGAGAGAACAGTCACAGTGGTTACAGAAACAGAAACACCAGCAGAGACTGAGTCCAACCCACCCCTTGACTCTGCAGCAGAAACAAGCCCCACCCTCCCAACTGCTCCATCCCCCATGGAGGAAGAAGAGGAAGAGGAGGAGGAGGAGGAGTGTGTTAGCGCTCTGCAGCTGGTGGGAGGTTAGTCCAGACTTTTATTCTCAAAATCATTACAGTAACATTGATTGATTTCATTGATTTATTGATTTGCGTCATCCAGATTATGGTTGTGATGCAGATGAGGAGGAGATCTTTTAACTCCGCTTGCTGACCTTTTGACCCAACTGAAGAAACTCCATCCAGGCTCCAGAGCC